CTCATAGGCCCAATTCAATTAAAAAAACCCAACAAATTCTAACATTTCTCGATTCATTTTCTAGAATGATCCATGTAAATATCTAAATAAAAGATGTGGTTATAAATGTGGAAATGTGTCAAGCAAATTATATAGTTCTAGGAATTTTATTTAGAATATTCTAAGAAAATATCTAGTCCAAATATGTGGTCTAGAAGCCTCATGAAAATATGAATTCTAGAAGGTTCTAGGAAATGTGTGATCTAGAAATTTCATGTAAACCCTATATAAAGGAGTAGAGTCCATCCATTTTGTAACAAGTCAAGTCAAGTGTATAAGTCTTGAAGTTGACAAATATAAGTTACCTTTTACTTACTTCTTCATATTAGTTTTGTCCTTCCTGTCAAACCTTAGGCAAACCATGTTAGTAAACCTCTCATTCCTCCAACAACAGTCAAGTTCAATATGTTTGGTTCTCTCATGGAACATCGGGTTTGTGGCGATGTGAATAGCAGCCTTGTTATCACAATTCAGAATGGCTGCTTGGGGTTGCTCAATCTGCAAGTCTTTAAGTAAAAATCTGAGCCATGTTAAACACAACAAATGTTTGCCATAGCTCTATATTCCGCCTCAACAGAAGATCTAGATACCACCTATTGTTTCTTTGACTTCCACGATATTAAAGCTGTTCCAATGAAGACACAGTAGCCCATTATTGATCTCCTGGTGTCCTAGCATGCTCCCCAATCTAAGTCACAATATCCTTCCAGTTGAAGTTCTGATTTTGTAGGATAAAATAGTCCTTGTCCAGGTGATTTCTTGATGTACCTCAGGACTTTTGTGAGCAGCATGTAGATGTGCAATCCTTGGACTTCCCATGTATTGGCTTAACAGCTGTACTCAATATGTAAGATCAGGTCTTGTGATTGTCAAATATAAGAGCCTCCCTATTAGCCTTCTCTAAAGAGATGGATCAGTCAGCCTTCTTCTTTACTAAGTTTCACATTCTTGTCAAAGGGTATTCTAGCTGGTCCTGAGCCAACAGTGTTTGAATCTGCCAAGACATCTAAAGCATATTTCCTTTGGCTAATATAAATCCCTTGTTCGGATCTTGCTACTTCAATGCCTAGGAAATATTTTAACTTTCCTGGATCCTTGATTTTGAACCTGTCATTGCGAGAAATCTTGAGTTTTTCCTAGATCCTAGGAAATATAAATGAACGTGTAAATCATTGTGCCAAAATCCTAGATTATTACCATTGATTAAAAAGACTTATACATAGTCGTTATTTATTGCTACATTAAATGACCACATTTATAAATGGTCATCAGCAGCCAGTTAACCTTAAATAGTAAATAAAATTTATAACCAATTATTAATACTCGACGACGAACAATTAAAGAATGGATGGGCTGATCACATCAATTATAGGATGTATTAATTAATTGTGAAGGGGGACAATATTAGCAGTAGACATTAACCTATGATAAAATTAATTTTAAATAATTAAGGTTAAAATTACTTGATCATATATGACTGACTAAAGTCACAAAATCAGTAAGAAATAAATAACTAATTATTTTGTTAGGCAACTTCATCTTCACTAATTGTAATGGGACTATTAGTTTGAGCAACACTACAGAATCCTTTATTCGGGGTCAAGATTAATGTTAACATAGAAATAATGAAAACATATAAAAGATGTACCTTGCTATAAACACATCGCATGATCAAACATTGAATAGCTTAAAATATTTTTCTTGTTCAAATTGATCTAAAGTAGAATATGAACTACTAAGTAAATATTTTCAGTACTATCAACAAGAATTATATAACCTATATTCATTTTGTATAAACGACTCATGATATATGTATACATATATTTACATATTGACGGCATTATAAAAGTATATAATAAAACAATTCAAAGAAACTAACATCGCCATTTTTTTTATTTTTTTTTAATTTTGAGGGAGTAAATACATATACATATTTTTTTTCTCCTTGCACGACTCATGTTCCTTAAATTCGTTTTCGGCTTGGTGTTGGAATGATGTGGAAAGAGGAGGCTGGTTTTGCAAGACTCAGAGAAGATAACTGAAAACAATACGACAGTAAATGGTGTCAAACGTTAAAATGCCTTCTGCGTTGGATATCTCAAATGGTTATAACTTAATTTCGTCTAAATTAGAAAAGTCAAATTTCCATTTGGGGCTTTCATTTACGTTAATTATATAAAAGAACATAGGAAATCAGGTTTGGTTTCCATCAATTTATTTAAATTACCAATTTAATGTCCTTTTATCA